AAAAACGATCACGATTTGAACAGCTGGGCAGCAGTTCAGATACAGAACCTAGCACGTAAAAATCATGCTTGATAAAAAGGAAAAGAATCTAGCAAATTTAATACAGCCAAATTACTGAGGGCCAATTTTAGCCAGTGTTTTGAGGGATGGAAGATGAAAATTTTTTTTGACTGAAGCCGAAATTATTCGTTTGAGCTCAAGATATCAGAGTGTTAAATTCCCAAGGTTTTTTTTTTTTTTGATTTGCGCGCTGCTTTGTCAAACAAGCTTTTGATGAAACTCAAAACTCTAATTCATTTTAAACCTAAATTTCCCTCACTATGTGAAAAAAAAACAGTTACTGTTGTCTGTTTTGTCGTTACTGGCTTGCTAACAACAGATACTCTCGTTCGATTACCGATGTTCAGAGTCTATTTTGCCAAATACAGTGAGTGAGAAAGGCCACTAAAGCGAACGACTGAACAGCTGAAAGACGACGGGGACTGCCACATTACTTTGAAAAGAGCATTAAAAGGACGCCGCAAGGCAAGTTTCAATCTGAACATATTTCGACAGGCGTATGCAATGAGTTTTTTTCTCCCTTACGCAACGCTATGAATCAGAGGATCCATTTTTTCTATGAATTATCTGCAAATGCTGGGTTCGTGTCCTAAGAAATTCTAATTCTGGTTAAGATTGCTACTTTTTGTCAATACGACAGAGTGTAACACGACACCAGACCGGCCGTGCTGACCAACTTTTTGCGAGATGATATAGCAGAAGAAACACACTGAAAACTGTTTACTAGTACTAACAACTTGAAAGAAAACAAATAGCGAAGCGCACGAGGGTAGCCAGTGCGATCATGAGTTTTGCGCAGTTCTGTCCAGCGGACGTATGCTTACTAAAAATATGACTGTTTTACACTTTGGTACATGAAAAAATAGTAGATATGCTGTCTGGCTTCTAAGGTGAGAAATTTTCCACTAAGAATTTCACGTGTCGGTACGTGAAAGCTGAATTTGAAAATATGGATGGAGAACATCCTTTTAGATTTCCACCTTGTATTTCCAAGCTCCGAGCTAGTGACTTTCACATCAAAATTCTCACGTGGTCTTACGTGGGACCTTCGCATACT